TAAAGCTGTTTATTTGCCACCAATAGCCTTGGGAATGATCTTTCATGATAAGTACATGCATGCTAAGTAATGCATAACTTTAACCCTGGTATTTATTACCTCCTTCAGAGATCACAGTATTGCCCCCGACAATACCTTACAGTTACTGAAAGGTCCACTTTAGGTTATAGAAAGCATGCTGGAAAAGGCTTGAAAACACGGTCTTCTAGGTACGGGGCAAATGGGCAAAACTGACTCATCGAACTTTAATAAAACTACACATATATGAAACAATGCAAAACTATACATTTCTTCATGTATCTGATTTTCAAAGCAGTCTCTGAAAGTTAAAGCTTATCTAAAACCAAAAATCTAATAATTTGCAGCTTACAAATTCTTAGGTGTGGTGGCTGCATCTGTTTGTTTGTTTTTAAGGCTTTTTTTTTCTCAGCATGCAGCTCTGCAATCATCCTACATTCATTAAACAAACATTTTTATTTTGCTTACAAATTTCTTTTTTTCTACTTCCTGGTCCACTTAAGCATAAATGATGCAATTGATGCAATTTTGCTTACAAATTTCTTTTTTTCTACTTCCTGGTCCACTTAAGCATAAATGATGCAATTGTGCCCAAGCGTTGCATCGTAGGAAGATTACATCAGCAGAGCATTGCTGGGAAATCTTATCTGTAATCTCAGAAGATCTCAGGGAAAGGCATTTTCCTCCCCTAAGATGATGTGCATGATCACATGTCCTAGTCACACGTGTCAGAGTGCCAGGAAGTAAAGGGATATATATTAATCTGCCTTTAGTAATAAGGGCCACTGTGAGAAGACTAGGGAAGAAAAAAGAAATAAGGTATGCAAATAAAAAGCCAGCAATTATCTAGAAGTATGTGTTTGCAGATTGTCATTACTGAACATTTCTAAAGGTGAATAGGTTGTTATTTTGAAGATATGGCTAAAGTTTCTCTTAAACCGAAAGGGGTCTTTGCAATGGTTAGCTTTTATGTATTTATTTATGATGTATGTATGTATGTAAAAGCTTTTTCCAAAAGGAATAAAAGTTGCTGTAAGTGCTTAAAAAGTGTTAGATGGATTAGCCGATTTAGATGGAATTGTCTAACAAATTAAATCTGAACTTCAGCTAAGACCACCCTCTCCACAGGGTAACAATGCTGCTGTCCAAGGGTGGCTCTGTTGCTCCTCTACAGAGTGGAGCCTCCCTAAGACAGATCCCCATGTGAAAATAAAGGAAAAAGCCTTAAAAAAAGGAAAAACCAATGCAGCCACCACATTTAAAGGTTGGTAAGCTGCAATATATTACATTTGTGTTTTTGGGGATAAGCTATACTTTAAGAGCTAAGACAAACAGCTCAAGCAATAATATTAAACAAACATTTGGTGACAATACCTCAGACAAATTAAAAATCATACAATAAATACAGATTTGTTTGATGTGAAATTCACAGCAGCAAGGGAAAAAATAGAGGTTGCACAAATAATATATAAAAACCATGTACATCAAACATTATGGTTCATTATGGTTTCATCAGGGTGTACACACATACATCTAATTCATCCGTATAGCAGTGTAGTTCACTAATGATATATATAAGTTACTATGGGGCAACTGGCTCTTCTAACGTCATTAAAGCAACACATATATGAAACAGGAAAAAAACTTATATAAAATACATGAAATTCTGTATAAAGCCGACTCAATTATATTGCAGCGTACTAATTCTTACATGTCGTGGCTGCATTCATTTCCCTTTTCCTTGTACTTTACCTAGTTTCACCTAGGGATTCAGAACAGGAAATACTGTACTGTATCTATGAAGGAGCAACCTTGACACCTAAGGACAGGACTATAGAATGCCTCTCTCGCTTCTCTATAACATAGGAGAGGATGTTCTGTAGTGCACAGGGAGAACTAGAAACAATGTAACTGTTAAAGTGGAAGCAAGGGGTTTGATCGGCAGGCTTTCTAAAGCAGAAGAGACTGTGTAAGCTTCTACCATTCAGCAATGTGTTTTTCCTTTACACTGAGCCGCTCATGCACAGGTCAGTGCACAGACCCAGAAAACAGAGATGAAGTAACTCCTGTAACATGTGCAGGAGTTGCACCATTGGGCCCAGCCAACCAAGTCTCTAAACACTAGGAACCTGGAAGAATACCAGGGTGAAGGTGGAAGCGCCAGTGAGGCAGTTTAATAGTGGAGGTGCAGTTCAATAGCCAATGTATAGTAGTTTAAGCCAATATAGTAACTGCAGTACACAATTATTTAAGCTAGACACACTGTAATCACGCAAAAAAAAAAAAAAAGGATTTGAGGTTAGTGTGCTTTTAATAATTATTTTTTTTATTTGTTGTAAGATAAGAATAACTTTTTTCAATGTTATCAAATAGATGACATATTAAGCTTTTAAACATTTGAAAAGGTCACGCTCTAATTTCACAATAAAAAAAGCTTAGAAGAATGAATAGATACTCTGCTATACTCCTCTTCTTTGGAAATGATAGTTCAATAATAAAATGGTTTAAAAGAAAATATATAAAAAGTTGAAATGTAATTTTGTTAGGGCAAGGCACGTGTTTTTCACTTTGGTCACCATAGTAATTGCTTTCATTATTAAATAAGAGAAGTACCCAACCTACTCCTGCCACACTCATCTTTGGAAAATGTGTTCTGATCACAAACTACCAATCAGAATTCCAGTGTCAGTTATCCTGTACATCCAGTGTCAGTTATCCTGTACATCCTAAGAAGGAGTGTGGCAAAAACTTTTTGATGACCTTAGTTGTACATGAAAAGGGCCCTATATAAGAAGAAAGAAACTGCAACGATATAAGGCTATTAGAGGTCTGTCCACTCAAAAGTGGTATTACAGGTAAAGAGTCTGGTGGTCTTAGCTACGCAATGGCTTCTTGTATCACTTGGGAACTTCAGTAATGAGATATCTTCTAGCTGCTACCAGTATAAAAAGTCAAGTTCCAATTCTATCTGTTGTATTCTCCAGAACACAACATAAATAATATAAAATACATTAAAATGGATTCTACCAATCCTAAGGCATAAAGAAATGTTAGTTTATGCTCCAGAACATATCAAAAACTGAAATAGACTTTAACAATGATAGAGCCAGTAAACGTGTATACCACTGGTCATCAAGAAAAAGAAGACAACGGAGATCTGTTCATAAATTAAGCTAAGCAGCATCTTGTAACCTTTACTAATGCGTCATAGAACAAAAATAACATACAAAAGGTTATTATGTACAGAAGTTAATTTGCATAGTACTACAGTGCAAATAAATGATAGAACTTCAGGTGCTGTGGAGGGACAGGCCACAGCAATCCCTCCCAGCCAAAGGATATGTAACTTTTCATAAATGATGAGCTACTGCCATCCTAATGCTTTAACAGTGTTCTTTGGTGTTCTGGGTTGTTGAGCTACTGTTTAACTAGAGATATATTCTTGAGGTTTAAAGTCAGGAAGCAGGTCCAATGCCTAGTTCAGACAGGTAGAAACAGTAGAAGAATACTAGAATAACTGTACAGCATTGGTCGTAATAGAATGGTCTTCAACAAGTATAATAGCACCTGCAGCCTTCCCCCTCCACTGTCCATCCAAAAACACAAAATGCACTGACCGTTTCAGCTCTTCTTTAAGAGACTATGTCACTAAATCAAAACAAAAACTGCTGCAGACCTAGAGGTATCTGCAAATACCCACCGCAGCGTCAAGTAGCCTCCCATTGCAGCCAAATAAAAGGATTACAGCCAAATTGACAAGCAAAACTCCAACATTTACATAGGGCAGATTTATAACTTGTTCACCCAGGTTACACATTCTCAGCACATTACTGCCTCTAGATGCCACAAGTATTTCCTATGCTTCTCGACTCCACCTAGTGGCAGTAATGCGCCGAGGACGCGTGAACATGCTATAAATCAAGTCCTTAGTATCAGAGCTTGCTGATCCATCCAATTTCCCCAAATTCTTACTGGCCCATCACTATGAGGCTGCCTACCTGGCTAGTAGGTATTACCTGGAGGTAGGAAGAGGCAGGCAAAGGGCTGGCAATGACCCGTAACAACAGGTTTTTGGAGCTGCTGCAGGTATGCATAGAGAGGTGCCTACAGCGGTTTCATGCTCTGTTTTAGCAAAAGAGTCTTTATGAGTCTGATCATTTTCATACGCTGACCGTTAAAGATTTCCCTATAACGACACATATCCTATGTTTCTGCCGTGGAAGATGCTATAAACATCAGAGTCCTTTTTTTCTCAATTATTTCGAAGTTACTAGCTCAGTTACTGAGTTCTCAGGCTCTCAGTGCACATTACACTTAATGGGGAAACATGAATATGGCACAGAGTTATGTGTATTTGCAGTAAAACTGTTTCCATTGTATAAATGAAGAGGTGGACTATCATTCTATCCTAACCTATGTAATTAATAGCACCCCCTTACTGACATTAAACTTTTTGCTTAACAAGTTGTTATACAAAGTTACATAGAAAGTTTAGGTTGAGACATGTCTATTGAATTCAAGTAAAATGAACGAACACTGGGGATGTATAGTCTTCATTCTTCTACTGTTTCCCCATGTCTGTACTAGCAGGTGATGATGCTAATCTGCATGCGCTAAAGCTTGGCTTGTACGGCTCTATAGTATCTTCATTCTCCTGCTCCATTAGGTGCACTAAGCAGCTGTTGTCCAAACAATTAGTTATACAATTCCAATCACAATTTTCTTCCTTACATTCTTTAGCTAGGTTTCAAACCACCACATATTGTTTATAGACATCAGTGCAAACAAAATATACAGTATGATCAATTTCCATGTATGCTGCTGTATTTTAGCTAAAATCAAGCTGTAAATAAATGCCCAGCATGGTGTCTGAATAGAATAACTGGCATTCTGTTGTTTGTTGTTATCTTTTATACATGCACAAGTAAGACATCTTCAAATCTCTGTAGCATTAGTCAATATACCATTGTGCCGATAGCCAACATGATTTACTATAGAACATATAGGGAAATAGAACAGTGGATGTATGGTCCTAGCTTGGGAAATCTGCTACATTTGAATAGCCCTCACAGCAGGGCTGAGTTACCATGAACAATGTGCACTACATTGGACTGAATAATGGCTGCTTTTGGGATCCAAAGTCAGGGGGCTTCACAGTAGAGAGATATCCAGCAAGCACCTTTTTATGCATCAAGTTCAACATTTGGCTCATCATACACCACATAGCGGTCTGATTTGGACTGCCGCGAATACTTTAGCCGTAGAAAGTCACCCATCTCGTCAAGTGCATCCAGGACCTGATGAATACACATAAAGTTAGCTCATATCCAACTATAGAAACCCCAAATTCATTTTACAGGTTTAAAAGGCTAATTTAACAACTACTTCATTTTGGATGGTGAATTATCAGGATTCCTGATAGAAATGCTCCCACAACAAGCATACATTTTGATCCCTATCATACATTCCTGAGTTTGGGAACAACGAATCAGAATTTTCACTCATCCCTAGATAGCACCAACGTGTAATATTTGTGATATAGCATGATTGGTTTTAACCCAGGAGGGAGGTAGCAGGACCCCTATGCTTGAGCAGGAGCCTTTTGGCAGATCTTTATTTTAACCAAAATCTTGCCATACATTTTATGTATTTTATGCATGGAATCTACCTGTAAAAACCTCCCTTGTGTAGACATCCAAAAGCCCTAAGACTACTGCTGGGTGCTGCCATCTTGTATTAGATATCAGCAGCCCCAAAGTTGTCACCCAAGTGACACCATAATATTCCTCTTCGTTTCTCCCCTTTAAAGTTTATGTAAGTAGGTGAAGAGAGGGGAGAGAGGTCAGTACAGAGAGTAATTAGATACTACCAGAAGAGAAGAGGGCTATGACGTGCAATTGTGGAGGAGACTGTGCTAGGTAATAAAAACTCTTCCTGGAGTAGTCAATTTTCCTAGCAAGTTCAAAGACACATTTGACAATAAAACACAGCAAACAACATGCTAATGACTCTAACCCAGAGCAGCCAGAGTTCATCTTCTCCCAATCTGGTTCAAGAGAAAGGTAAAATGTTTTTGGTTGCTATGGGCTACGGTTGTTTGCACATCACCTTTGCATGGCTTTATTAAATAATCCAAATAGAGATTAAAAAATATTCATGGGGCTTGGACTTCAAACAGTTATGTCAATGCCCACAGTAAATATAATAAGTGTCAGAATTACAGTATACTTTTCACCATATCAAATGAGATATTATAATCTCTTGCTCATTCAAACAAGCCTGGAGGCATTCATTGTACTCCAAATGCTTGCAGCTCATTAAAGTATATTATGAACACAGTTGTTGACATCTAGAGCAAGAGTTCTCTGATTTCACAGGCAGCAAGATTCTTTTCATCTGTCCATTTTAGACCAAGGAAAAGTATAGCCTTAGAATACACGCAGACCTGACATGGGGACGGAGGAATGCTGCATGATCTGCTAACTTTAAACTCAGCAAACCAAATGCTAAAAATATAAAAAGGTAAACACGGTGGTGCATTGAGGTTTTTTTTTTCCATGCAGGGGAACAATTATGAAGCATAAATGACTGTCAGAGAATTGAAGTCACAATTTATATAAGGAAGGGAAACAGTTCACACTGTTCTTTCCTTGTTTGTAAAGCCAATTTTGTGATGGTTTTCATTTATACATGTTATTTATAAGTTATTTAATCTTTACACTAATTCAGAATAGTATAAGAAGGACACAGAGTGATCATTTGTGGTGTGTTTAATGTGCATTGTGTTAAAGTAGCCCATTCATTTGAATCGGCTGCCAAGCACACCACAACGGATCAAAAATTGTCCCTGCTACGTTTGGTAACGCAACACATGGCATTGAATGGCGGTGTGCTACCATGTGTCGTACTGCACTGCAGCTCAGGTGTATTGAAGGTTCCATTCAAAATTAATTGTACTGCCTTGCACCAACACATGAAATGGGCATTATCACATGGCAATGGTGTAAACTAACCCTAAGGGATGAACAATGATGTTTATATTCATAAACTGATATCTGTTGTGTACCACATATGTTCTAACCATACCCCTGAGAACTAATATAATCCAAATGCAGTGAATTATAATAGTGATCTACTTGGAGTTTTCTTGACCCTTTGTTGTTGCAAGGAATTAAAGGAGAACTATGAGGTGAGTGCTTTTCACTCACCTCATAGTTCTAGCCGACCTGTGACAGTTTCATTGTCACAGGTCGGCTCAGTAGATTGGGAGGTGAGCGAACAAATCCGGGCGTTCGCTCGCCTCTCGATCCTGTCACGGCTCTCTGCCGTGACAGGGGGAGGGGCTGGATTCCCCTCTCCCTGCTCCGATCTGCCAGCGCTGACGGGGGGAGCGGACGGGGGAGGGAGCGGGTACAACTGGCACTGCCTCTAGATAGGCAGAGCCAGCTGTCACTCACGCAGCTGGGCTGATCCCGTCATCTACGTCGGGATCCGCTCCGGCTGCGGCGTCTCAGTATACCGCGAGCTGTAGCTCGCGGTATACTGAGCTTAGGGTAATGGGAGGACGCTGGTTTGTGTCCTCCCGTTACCCTAAGGAGAACTATGGGGAAAAACACTGACCCCATAGTTCTCCCGTAAAGACTATTATTACTGTTAAATACCATTTCTAGTGTGTGGCAGACTAATTTTGCCCAGTTATAGGTTAGAAAATAAACCTAATTTACTTACAGTGTCTAACATTTTCTTTGTATGTGCTGCTGAAATACAAAACCTCGCTCTTGCTTCAGTAATAGGAGTGGCTGGGAACCCTACTACAACAACGCCAATCTTCTTCTCCAGCATGTGTCTTGAAAATGCCCTATGGATAGAAATAATGTTTCTTATAAAATAGGTGCAGAAATATAAGAACCATTTCCTAGAACAATTAAATGCAAATTTCACTGTTCTGTCTCGGACTATGAAAATCCACTAACACAGATGCCAACCCCTCATTTGACTGATCCTGGCAACTGTTGTAGAAGTAGTAACCACACATCTAAGGAAATAAATTGCAAACGAATTGCAGGAAAAAACCCAACATGAGTCTTCCTAGGGCACACAGGGTCTTCTCAGGGCATGCAGAGAATGCAGCTTATACTCGACTTGGTAGTATTATAAGAGCAAATCCCATTGTTTCCACCATTTTAAAGGTAGAAGAATTTATAGTTACATCCACAACCTTTTCAAGAACTTTTGCCCTCTGTTATTATTGTTTTTTTCCATATACCAGGCACGATAAACACAAAAAAGTATTGAACTATAAAATATACTTCTGCTACATATTGAAGCAAAAGAAACAAAGCAAATCAGTGGCGTTGCACATGTATAGACCAGATAGATCTTAGATCAGTGCCGCTTGAAACATCTTTTCGGCTTGTGGATGCTAAAACCTTCTATGTGTAATTAATGGAGTAACATGCATGGCTAAGATGGCTCAGATTAGTTTTACTGATGTCAACGAGAGTTAAATCTCCACAGACTTAATCATACTTAGTAAGATTACAAAGGGATTACTAGAGACTCATATTGGATAGCCTTCCATCTGTTACCATCTTTAATATCTATCATCAGGGGTGGACATGGAGCCTTTGCAGCAATGTGGCATTGCACAGGAACCCCCAAAGAAAAAAAACATTCCTTCTAGGTTGCTATTAGTGTAAAATATTGCCTAATGGTTAGTAAAAGGTTTATAACTGAACTGAAGCTGTTGGCAAGAGCACTTATGGTGCAAATTGAATGTTGTGCAGCAAGATATGGCAGGAAGCCAATAGTTTATTTATAAGCAATATGTTCAAGCTGACAAAGGCCATACACAATGGGCAACTGTTATTAGGCCCTACATTTTTTCTGCATGTGGACCTTGGGCCACCTACCACTACTATTTGTACTATACAGATGGGGTTTGTTTACCTATTACACTATGTTTTAAAAAGTGAGCTTCAAATCTCGGTATTTTTCTCATTTGGATGCATGTGGTCCAAATCATATTTCCAATGGAAAGGGTATGGCAAGGCTTTTTCATGTCGGGAATGTACCCTTTTGATTTTCTGAAATGTCATGTTCATTTTAGCCTGTTTGTGGGTCATGTATTCATCTCTTATTCTTTTTGTTTGTTGATAAACAAATATCATACTATACTGTAGATCAGTGCTCCCCAACCTTTTTATCGCCTTTGACCGGTCAACGTTTTATAATTTTACCGCGGCCCGCTGAGGGGGGGACGTTGATTGTTTATATTTTAGATTGTTTTGATTTAATAATTTTAATTTGTGCTGTCAGTGCCATTATTTTCTAATGGCACCACAGTCGTGCCAGGCAGATTGAGCGTTTTCCTGCTGCAATACAGCCCTGCCCGTGCGGTTGCACACAATCGCAGTTGAAAACACTGCGCGTTTATTCACGTGCACATGGGGGCAGCGGGGCTGGTTTTCATTTATTCAATTTTTATTTACTTTGGAAACATTTTGTTTGTTTTATTATTTTTTTTTAAATTTTTATTTTGTTACGTTTTTAATATTTTTTACTATTTATTTTTTAAACTTAACTGTATTGCTATTACACTGAAATTTGGATAATAGCCCTGCTAATGCGACATACCGATAGAGCACTGCACATAGGACCTATATTTAAATATGATTTAAAGCTTGAGGAACACAAACAGTAAAGACTTATTATATCATATTTGGTATTTTTGTTTTGTTTTATTATTTTTACTTTATCACCTTTTTATTTTGTTACGTTTTTAATATATATATATATTGTTTTAACTATTTATTTTTAAACTTAACTGTATTGCTATTACACAGGGGTTAACAAATCCCCTGTGTGATAACATTTGGAGGTGACAGGTACACTTTATTCAACCTGTCACCTCCAACCAGGAGTTCTAGCAGGCACTGTTGCTAGAACTCCTGTATGACATGAACGAGCAGCAGCTGCTGAGGACAGAGGCTGAGGGAGGTGACAGAGCCTGTCTCTACTCCACACCCTCGCTCTGTCCCTGCCCCCCGCGATCCATGCTCTGTCCCCGCTCTGAGTGCTCCACGCTCCGTCCCGTTATCGGCGCTCCCTGTCACCCGCTCTCAGCGCTCCCCGCCCCCCGCCGTGGGCGGCCCGGTACCATTTGATCCACCGACCAATACCGGGCCGCGGCCCGGGGGTTGGGGACCACTGCTGTAGATTACTTGAGTTTATTTGTGTTCATGAATAAGTGGATTGTGGTGATCATATATAATTTTGCATGTATCCCAGCCTGAGGATTCCAGCAGAAAGATACTGTCAACTACCTGCTACTGCTACTATTTTAGCAACTTTGTTTTTCTACAGATTGCCTTCAAACAGTGGAAATACCAAACCTTTTTGTTTAAGTTCTAAAAACAAAATCCATCTTTGAACCTTGCACAAGCTTTTACATTTATAAGAGTAATTCCACCCAGAAAGTGATTTTTACGCTATAGTAAAGTCTGGCTTCTTATATGTCTTGGAAACACCAATAATGGGATCTCTTTCCCACAATTTCTGACTTTGTGAGATTGAAGTTCTGGGTGTTCCAGTCCTTGTGTTCAGTTACTCTTTTTGCAATATATTTATAATATAAAATACAGAATTCACCAGAGAGTGGGACCCTTAATAATGGCCACAGTAAGTGTGCAAAACCCGGAATGCAAGCACAGATATCTCACCAACTGAGTTACTGAGAGCTACCCGGTGTTTTAACTTGCCAGCATCCAGATTATATGTAGACATGTCATCCCACTTTTGATTAGCCTAACCCTATTTGTATGATTTTACACAGCAAAAGTAGGCTGGCTGACAAATAATTATATCTTTGGAACCAACGTTTTAAGAATTCTTACCCGACTTTGCCTGGCATGTACAAAAGCACTGGAACAACTGGAGAATCTTCATTGCCGTAAGTGATGAACCCCAGCTCCCGTAACTTATGTCGGAAGTATCGAGTGTTCTCTGCAAGCTGATGTACTCTTTTTAAGCCTATAAAATATACAATACAAGAAATACATAATTCCTGTCACCAGCCTGCCAAAGGAAAAAATGAAGACAGCACTCCAAGAACTGGAAAAATTTACATCTGGGTGTCACAAGGACAAAATGTAAAGGGAAGCATTACAGACAGAGAAAAACAACTACATAACTCATATATGAAGTGGAGTGGACCACTATGCGGTCCACTCCACATCAAAGTCCACGCCATATAAAACACATGCTGTAGTTTAGCTGCAATTCCACTTTAACCAAATTTTTCTTCAAGGATAGGTACACTTTCAGACATAGTGCAACTCTATCCAATGGCACTCTACAATATCTGCATCCATCTTTTTTTGTGCTTGCCACTACTGTACAATCGATTCTCCTAGATTTCTTAGGAGCTACTGATCAGGGCCGGCCTTAGGGGTGTGCGAGCCGTGCGGCCGCACAGGGCGCCATGGCAACAAAGATTGTTTCCTGTTTGCATTGTAGCAGGCCACAGCTGTGGGATGGAGGTAAGTATGCATCTGGGATAAGACAGGGTGAGGCCAAAAAGTACACATGCCCTTCAAACATTTCCAATTCTATGATCAATATTTTGCTTATAGTACACTTGTAATGTGAGAAGTAAGGGGGTTGCCAAATCCTAGTTGCCTGGCTGCTTATGGCTTGAATACTTTTTAAGCACCAACTCGAAAAGTGTTAAAGCCAAAGCAAGTAAGGAAGGAACTAAGATTCTCAAAAGGAGAGGTCAGCATTGGAACCCTACATACTTCTCTCATAACAGGTACACTTTAAACATGCTTAGATTTATTTTTTAATAATTCATGTTAGAGATGCATTGTTTTTAGGAAAGGACCAATCTCTGAACACTCATGCTTGAAAATATCAGAAGCTTCTCATCAGTTGCTGGACAGCTTCTCATGGATTCTTGTGGGAAAACCTTCATCAATAGATTTTGTTAATTATGGGAACATTAAGACAATATGATAAAGAGAAAAGATTCTTGGAAGCCTTTTGATAATCCTTATAGCTTGTGTTTAAGATTTGCTTTGCTCATGGAAGTATGTTACCAGTCAATTAATAATGCTAACATACATGTAGCTTCGTTTGAAGTATCAAAAGGTGAAATCCCTGTCCCTGGTATTTACCAAAATAGATTACATGTAATATCAAGCCCTATTAATATACTTGTTTCTTCGAAGAGAACTCACCGCAAGCCTTTCATCACAAGGCCACAGGGCCCCTGTGTCAATCAAAGTGAATGATAACATGGTTTATATGGATATGGAGTAAAAGCCAGAAATGATACCACAGCACACAAATGTAATGTGATATAGGTAAAAAGCAATCAGAATGTAGGCCATACAGTTTGCTCACTAAACTGACAGACGTTGCTGCTGCATTAGTTTATGAGCAAAAGTATAACCTGGGAACTAGTTTACAGTATATGTAAATGCAAGGACACAACTTTTATATTTTGCAGCTTAATGGTCCTTAGATGTGGTGGTTGCTTTATTTTCCTTTTTCAGGCTAAGAACATTTTCTGCAAGAACAGAAAAATACCCAATGATCCTGCCAGAAACACAGTGTCCTTGCAACTTCCTTTGCACTTAACTAAATGTTATCAGTCTCTCCCATTCTCTACAGTGAGCTACTGAGCACCTGTTATGGAGATGATGAGGTAGTTAGGTGTTTGCAGTCCAAATCAGGTGAGCAGCCTAGGGTGACAACATTGCTCCTAAATAGATTTAGTATGGAATCACATCTAAGGAATAACAAGTTGAAATACCTAACATTTCTTTACTTAGGTTTAGATACGATTTAAGGTGGAACCTTTAAAAGGAGAACCATGAGGTGAGTGCTTTTCACTCACCTCATAGTTCTAGCCGACCTGTGACAATGAGACTATCACAGGTCGGCTCAGTAGATCGGGAGGTGAGCGAACACATACCGGCGTTCGCTCACCTCTCGATCCTGTCACGGTTCTCTGCCATGACAGGGAAGGGGCTGGATTCCCCTCTCCCCGCTCCGATCTGCCAGCGCTGACTGGCGGAATGGACGGGGGAGGGGGCGGGTACAGCTGGCTCTGCCTCTATATAGGAGAGCCAGCTGTCAGTCACGCAGCTGGGCGGATCCCGGCACAATTGTCGGGATCCGCTTCAGCTGCGGCGTCTCAGTATACTGCGAGCTACAGCTCACGGTATACTGAGCCTAGGGTGACGGGAGGACGCTAGTTTGTGTCCTCCCGTTACCCTAAAGAGAACTATGGGGAAAAGCCTTAACCCCATAGTTCTCCTTTAATGTGGTTCAGTTAGGTTGTATTGTATTGGCACAGTGCAGGTGAGGGTCCTAGCAATATGAGCCATTCAGCTTGTAGTGCATAGTTTTGTGCTGTTAGTCTAACATATGTCTGGGGTCACTGGAGGCTGTAGACAAAATAGCTAGAGGTGGGGCACTAAAACAAGGTTTTAGATAGTGGTGTCACCCTCTGACTATATAGTGTGGCAGGGGTGTGTACTTCACTGTGCCCAGTGCACATCAGTATATGCATTTAAACCATGTATTTAGTTTTGGTTTCACTTTAAAAAGGTTTACGATGCAAAATGAGACCACAAGAGTGTTCCACAATGTACTAAGGGTTGTCAAATCAGACATTCAGCATTCCCACCTATCATATTAAAACCTGCCTTGGATGTCTTGAATATGATTATACAGCAAATACATTTAGAGGATGTTACCGAGCACAAGCTTTAGAATGTACAATCTCAGTAAAAACATGAGGGGCAGCCTGGATTCTAGAATCACGGGATTACAGAACTCTCATAAGGGTAAAAATAAGTGAAATCCCTCTTACGTTCCACGGAGTCTGTGCCGGTGCACGCTGCTCCATAGACGTACCATGTGTCTCTCCTCGTCTTCCGGCCAAACATCTGAACTGTCCATGTGCCCGCCCCAAGATCCTTTATGGCTGCCCGAGAATCTTGAGACGTTCGGACGGGAGCGTGCGGCAAAGACACAGGTACGTTTAAACCTGTTGCAGGGGTGGGCAACACCAACCCTCCAGGTGTGGTAAAAATTGCAGGAAAAGGTTTAAAAAAAAAAAAGAAAAGTTTTTGCATATATCTTACTGCTTGCTAGCCGTAGATATATGCAAAAACCCCTGAGGGTTTAATAACCCTTTAATGCTGACATCGGTAAGGTTTGATATAGAAAGTCAGCCACCTTCACCCAATAGTAGAAATCTTTGTTTGAGGAGACACAGACTAAAGGTGACCATACACTAGTAGATTTTCGTTCGAACATTAATACAAAAAAATCTTGTCAGAAGGTTCAATAATGCCATCAAAAGACTCTCTGAACAACATTCGGAATTGTGTTTGGTTTTAACATTTGACTTTGGAAATGAATGGAGTCTCTCCAACAAAAACTACAATGACTATTAAAATATTGATCCAGCTCTTTTTTTTCCATGCTACAGTCGAAAATGATCATCGCTTTGACCCCATTAACTATTAGAAAAATCAAACAACCCCTCCGAAAACACATTTTTTCAAATAAAATTCCACCGGTTTATGGCAAGCTTAACGCCGATGTCACACTAGAGATCGTGTTGGCACTAGCGATAGGCTCACTAGTGAAAACAAAAATAAATACACCTGTTCCTTCAGCATCACTTCCTCACTGGTCGGAGAAGAAAAGCATTGCTTCAGTGCTGGTGAGGGAGATTTTGCAGTGTTTGGGCCAGTGAGGGAGCGATGTCAAAAGAAATGGGGAATAGATTTTTTTGCCCCACTAGCCATCCTCTCTCAGTGACATAGGCCATTAACTAATCCTATAATGCTTGTGTGCCACAGCTCTATATTTCCTCTTATAAAAAGCTTTTTAAATATAATAAAGTATCTATGAACATCACTATTATCTCTACACTTAAAATGGTAAACAACTGGAATTGGTTAAAAAAAATTCCAAACGGGTTCATAGAATTGTAACTCCAGTTGTGGTGCCCCAAGATTACCTGTTGCAGTTCCTTTCGCACCTGTAGTCAATCCAGTGGCATAGCATTTCTGTCAGTAGACATTAAAACTGTTACTGAGCCATTGAGAGGCCTCACTCTAAAGCAGATTCACAAATGCTCACCTACTTCCATCTCATTGCCCCATGGCTGTAGGACTGTGATGAGCTGGGTAAAAAGGCACCATCTCACTACAGCCTGCTGAATGGACAGCGAAGGAACAGGAGAACACTCGTTTACAAGCCAAGGTCATTCCTCTGCTCACCCCTCCTGTAAGCATGTATAGGAAGGAGGCTGACAGCAACGTGCAAAACAATAGAGCCTAACTGGACCATAGTGCTGCAGCCCCTGCTATTGTGAGTGCTGCTGTGCAAGACATTACAGCAGGAGTGGGCAACTCCAGCCCTACAGCTATTGTGGAACTACAAATACCATGATGCATTGCAAGACTGACAACCACAGGCATGAGTCTCCGAGGCAGAGGCATGATAGGATTTGTATTTTTACCACACCTGGAGGGTTGGTGTTGCCCACCCCTGCAATACAGGAAGATAATATCAAGGTAGGGTTAGGTACTTATAGTAGTTGTATGATAAAAATCAATACATTATGTTTAAGCTTTAAGAGATAAGATTTTTAAGGCAGGCAGGAAGGGAAACTTTCTAGAGACACATATATAAATCCTTCTATTTAAGTATATAGTAGGTTTATTCATGTGAGATGCTTTAAGCACCTTTAAGCAAAACATTGTAAAAAAAAAACAAAAAAACCCCAAAACATGTCTTCAGCATAGGAGGATGACTGTGCAGGTATAATGGCTGCAGCCAGGACCAAGTGTCAGCCCCAGGCCTTGGGAAATGTAACTCCATAGGAATAAATGAAACCTTCTTTCTCAAAAGGTAAACGATTCAATACAATATCTGGAGAATAGAGCACAGCAATAGTACACGCTTGACAGCTACTGAGAAGGACTGGGAATGTGGATTCACTA